GGACACTTTGTTTATTTTCTGTTAATAAACGGTGTCTGTCGTTTGGTCCAACACCCATTAACGTAAACTACGCCAGAGTGCGTACACACCTCACGCACCGGAAGTCGTGCGCGCGCACAAAGACAGTTGGACATAGTGGTGTATTATAGGTAAAAAATTATATAAATACTGTTCGGTTTCTGGCACAAACCGATCGTTTCGTGTGTTAGGACATCAGTGTGTCGTCACGAGCCGCAGGGTTTAATTTGGATTTGTCTGTGCATGTTTTTTTTACACTCATAGACTTTGTTACCATTGCCATGCATTATAAGACTGATGGACTCCAACGGTTGGACTTAAAAATCATCAAATGAATAATAATGAATACTGAAGAAACAAAGTCACCTACATCTTGGATGCCCTGGGGGTAAGCAGATAAACATCAAATTTTCATTTTTGGGTGAACTATCCCTTTAAGGCCCTGGAATTGATTTTCAGGGATATTTTTACTTTTCCAATTGCGAATTTGTTCTGGCTCATATTTTTTTAGAGAAAGACTTCATATTAGTCATTCAGCAAAACCCTATGACAGCAAATAGGTGTATCTGGCAACTACTTGTCAATATGGTCTTTAAACCCATAACTACAATTACATATAAACATGATCAAATGTTAATTAACAGATAAAATTAGGAATTCACTTTTGGGTAAACTTTTCAGCCCATCACATTTGGTGCATTTATTTATTTATTTTTTCACTGTCTGTGACATTTTGCCCATATAAATTAAGCAGAACAATCTTTCTTTAAAAAGTATGTTGTCCTCTGGCTTTAAATTGTGATCTTGTGTTTTTCATATTCAACTTTGAGTGTTTACACTAAGTTCATGATTTTATGGTCAACTTTCTAAAATGTTGCAGGCAAGAGATTTGGTTGTCAGTATTTATCTGTAACAGGATTGCTAATTGTAGGTCAACTTTAAGAGATAGTTCACCCAAAAATGAAAATTCTGGGTCACACTTTATTTTAAGCTCCAATTCTCGCTATATTAACAAACCATTCACTACGACTTTTGACTCCAAATTTGCTGCTTATTAATAGTTAGTAAAGTACTTTATAAGTACTAATAAACAGCCAATATGTTAATAATAGCATGCTAATAAACAACTAGTTAATAATGAGAATTGGTCCCTGTACTAAAGTGTTACTGAATTCTGTCATTAATTACTCACCCTCATGTCGTTCCAAACCCGTAAGACCTCAGTTCATCTTCAGAACACAAATTAAGCTTTCTGACCCTGCATAGACAGCAAGGGAACTACCACATTCAAGGCCCAGAAAGGTAGTAAGGACATCATTAAAATAGTCCATGTGACATCAGTGGTTCAACTGTAATGTTATGAAGCAACGAGAATACTTTTTGTGCGCAAAGAAAACATAAATAACGACTTTAGTCAACAGTTTTTCTCTTCCCTGTCAGTGTCTGCTGCCATTCACAAGAGTACCACTACACATTTTTCACAGAAAAACCAGTGTTTCCCCTGACATTATATTAAGGGGGTACCCCCCCCCTCCCAACTGCACCCACTGCCCCCCCTTGAAGGAGTTCCGCCCCGATGCGCACACACAAGTGAGCACACTCCCACTAGTATTTGTAAATATTAAGCCGCAAAACGACTATTTAAAAATGAATTCTGTGTCTCTGTGTTAATGAATGGCGCAGACGCCAGTTTTGTTTACTACTCGTACTGAAGCACGCGTGACGTTTCCGGTGATATTAACGTCTGCCGTCTCACTATGAGGACATAAATACATGAACAACATCTCCAGAACTGCTCAGAGTTATTTGAGCATTTGACCGTTTCATTTGAGTAAAACTATCCTCATATCATATACACACAGAAATGTAAAGGTATTCACGGCAACCGGTCAAAATAAAAGTTCAGTTTAACTTGAAGACATTGCAGCAGAAATATATTAGCCTACTAGCCCCTATTAGCCCCCCAAGCCGTAAACCTAGGGGAAACACTGAAAACTGATCTTATGTGCCTGAAGGTTGATTACTGATTGATTGATCGATTGATTCCCTGTCTTGCCGTCCTAAACAGAATGGAGAACTCAACTAAAGAGGAGTACAAGATCCAGTCGTTTGATTTGGAGACACAGAAACTCCTAAAAACTGCCTTGAAAGGTCATTATCTTGAATCTGCAGCAGTTTTGCATGACATATTTTACTGTTAGGCTCACAAATGTGACCCCCCCCCAGACCCAGGTTCAGTTGACCTGGAGAAAGTGTCTAATGTAATAGTGGACCAGTCTCTGAAGGACCAGATCTTCAGCAGGGAGGCCGGACGCATCTGTTACACGATTATCCAGGTAAACAAATGCACCATGTGTAGCTTGTAGTTTGTTAGGACTGAGTTGTAAGCATATGACTGACTTTATGCAGGCAGAGGCCAAACAGACCAACGGGAATGTGTTTCGGCGTAACCTTCTGAACCGACTGCAGCAGGAATTTAAAGCCAGAGAGGAGACGCGGAAGAGATCCACTCAGGAATGGGTTTGCCTTGTGTCCTTCATCTGCAACATCTTTGACTACCTCAAGGTGAAAATTGCCTTCTGTTTTAATGCTTAAAGGAATAGTTCACCTAAAATTTAAATTTGCTGAAAATGTACTCACCCTCAGGTCATTCAAGATGTAGATGTGTTTGTTTCTTCAACAGAACAGATTTGGAGAAATGTAGCATTACATCACTTTCTCACCAACAGATCCTCTGCAGTGAATGGGTGCCGTCAGAATGAGAGTCCAAACAGCTGATAAAAACATCACAATAATCCACAAGTAATCCAGTCCATCAATTAATGTCTTTACTTGTGGATTATTGTGAAGTTTTTTTTATCAGCTGTTTGGACCCTCATTCTGATGCACCATTCACTGCAGAGGATCTGTTGGTGAGCAGCTTTCTCCTAATTTGTTCTGATTAAAAACAAACTCATCTACATTTTGGATGGTCTGAGGGTGAGCCAATTCACAGCTAATTTAAATTTTACGTTCACAACGTCTCATTTAGGAAGGCATGCAGGGTAACTATAATTAAAAATGCATTTGTAAATTAATTTGAAGTGCTTACTAACTTTTAACTTAAAGCGGTCATATGATGCCATTTAAATTTTTTCTTTCTCTTTGGAGTGTTACAAGCTCTTGGTGCATAAAGAAGATCTGTAAAGTTGCAAAGACTAAAGTCTCAAATCTAAAGGGATATTCTTTATAAAAGTTAAGAGTAAACCACACCTACCTAAAACGGCTCGTTCTAACACGCCCCCACATATCTACCTCACTATGTGGGAAGATTTGCATAACGCCGCCCAAATGTTCACACAAAGAAAGAAGGCGTAACATTTATTGTCGCTGTAGTATTGTTGCTGCCGCCACCGCCATGTCGTGAAGGCACTGTGTGTTTCGTTGTGAAAGCAAAACTACTTTGTTTGGTCTTCCAAAAGAGGACGATATCCGCTTCGTCATGCCTGGAGCTGATCCGTGCTGGTCGCTGA